CCTAACACAACAGTACTGTACTATTCCTGAACACCTTGTATTATACTACCGCAGTCGTCCGGCCTTGCATATACACTACTACAGTCCATTCATCGGAAACTGGCCCGCTGGCTTTTGAAAGTCGGATTTCGGCCGAATTGAGGATCAAAAACCCACTTTAAATGTCAAAAAATTGGGTTTTGGATCTGCTTCTCCGTACATTTTGCCATGGCATACCTGTCCTAATTTGGTAAAACCTGGCTGAATTTCTATTTCCCTGTTCTTGGACTTTTCTGGCCTCAAATGTGGCAAGGAGTAATTGCACGGGTCACACAATGCAGGATGTACTGTTGTTTTCACGATATCTACAACTATGTGAGAGACACCAAAAAGTTAGGGTGCCAGTTTCCAATGAATGGACTGTAGTACCTCGGGTTCTAAAGTACATATTTTACGACTCTGGAGTGAAGTAATAGATTCACAACATACCAGATACCAGCCTATTGTGTTATTCACCTTGCATCGTACATGTACACTACCTCGGCCATGGAGTACAGATTTGTATGGCTCTTGAGGGGTACAGACAACCTTGCGAAAAACGACTCTCGATCGGCCATGAGAAAAGTGTTGTTGTTTGCGAATTGTTGCTATTCGCGAGTTGTTATTACTCGCAGGGTTGACTGAACATAATACTGCATTTTCACTCTTCAAGGTCAAATGACCGAGATAGGACATGCTCGGTTCTGACACTTGATATGAGCCTCCAAGACTGCACGTCTCCGGGATAGATGCCGGGTACGTCCGGGGCATTCTTCCACAGTCCCACATGTTCCCAATCAAGCTACAGCACATAGGTGATCATGTCTGTTGCCAGGGAAATCAATACGGTCGATATCATGTGATCCACTGACTCTGGCAGGTTGGCAAATAACGGCATAAGAGACACCCGTTCAAAGTGCAAGCTTACATCGAGGAACGATTGGAAGGCTGGGCTTTCCACCCTCAGTCGACCGACGGTCTCTATCGCTGTGTGGAAGTTATTCCTGTACGTTTTGTATAGGCCAAGTCGGGGCAACTGCATGACAAAATGAGAGAGAGAGAGAGAGAGAGAGAGAAGAGAAAGAAAAAGAGAGAATATTTGCAAATAAGGTTGCTGAAAAACACCAAAGCACCAAAGGTATGTCATCATCTTCGACACTCTACGTCTGGACAATTCACACACACACACACACACACACACACACACACACACACACACACACACACACACACACACACACACACACACACGCGCGCGCGCACGCAACTATCTCCCACCCGGAACGTATTCATAATTTCCCAAACCCGGCAGAGTCTCCCACAATGAAGAGTTCTTTGCTCCATATGCAGCAGCAGACAAACTGCACAAGGCTTCTTATTAATTGTTAGCTCCAGGAAGTTAGTTTGAATGTGGCGGCGTTCCTACCAATGCTGAACAGCCAGTATGAGTGACTGTGCTGCCAGCCACGAATTTGAGGATTGGTATCAGTTAGCCACTTGGCTGCATCTGTGCCTTGCTTCTTGAAAAATGGTGGCGTTCCAACGGATGCGGAAAACTCGGTCTAACAGAGTTTCACGCGAACCATGATATTTATTATTGTTATCAGTCAGCAGGCGTGTAGCCTGCATGGGGCACAGGGGCACGTGCCCCCCCCCCCCCCCTTAAGATTTCGACCTACATGTCGGCTCAGCATGCACATAATGGCCATGAATGACATGCACCTGCCGTTCTACACATACATGTATGCGGCCGTGCACCCAACCCCCTAAAAGGGGAACTAGCTTCGCCCCTGGTCAGCTAATGATCATGAATGACACACACCTGCCATCCTACACATACATGTATGCGGCCGTGCACCCAACCCCCTAAAAGGGGAACTAGCTTCGCCCCTGGTCAGCTAATGATCATGAATGACACACACCTGCCATCCTACACATACATGTATGCGGCCGTGCACCCCCCCCCCCCCCCCCCCCCTGCCCCGAAAAGGGGACCAGCTTCAGCTTACCAACACTTTGAACGTGTCCGGCAGAGTGGTCAACCTCTGGAAGTCGGAGTTGACGAGTGGCTCCAGAGACAACGTTATGGCATTGTGCAACGAGTACAGATCCTCCATGTTCAGAAATATCGTCTCCACTTCGTGTGCGCTACAGATCGGCTGCGATGTGTTGGCAAGCGCTTGCAACGGCTTACAGTAGTTCTGCAAGCAAACAGACAAACACAGTGCGTCAGATACAGAGTGCGTCAGATACACAGTGCGTCAGATACACAGTGCGTCAGATATACTGCCCGCAGACCAGAGCCGTCTGATCTGAGGACAATTGGAGTGGACACAATACTAGCGACCAAGACTGTGCTACTGATTGTTAATTAGTAATTACATGCAGTAAGACCTGTGTTTGCCGGACCTTGCACCTTGCACCAAGGGGAAGCCTGTATTGACCGGATAATTTTCATTCACCAAAGTGCTGCATCTTTGGATCAAGTGCAACACTGTCATGTCAGGACAGTTCCCGCTGCACCAAGGGCGTCCGGGTAGGGCAGATTTTCCCAGTAGTCGGTGACAGAAGTGGACAAATGAGTACCCGATAGATGAGGGCCGGCAACATCATCAAAGTAGAAATTGTTTTTTTTCTTCATTTGACGATGTTGCCCTCTTCATCTGAAGATGACAACAACGAATTAGTATCAAACACAAATTAGTTACACAATGCTTTATCATACTGAAAACATGTTACTTTCGGTGTAACTTTAATTTCGGTGATTTTGGTAGAAAAACCAGGCACCCAAATTCAGATCACACCTAAAAGGCACTAGAGTATGCACTGTATATGAAGGGTAGGCTGGTCACCTTATTCTGGATTACACCTGAAACCTGGCAGGTCCCTGACACGGAATTTTAATACATGTAAATTTCCATGGTTGCCAGTATCATCTACATAGATACTCACGAAGTAGACAGTGCGAAGTGTGTTGCGATACGTCTTCTCGCCGTCGGCAAAGCCGGCAATGGCCATGCGTGTGAAGTCCATGGTGCCGACGGACTCGGCGGTGAGGATGGCGTTGACGGTCGTGTCACTGCAGCCGCGCCGGCGCATGGACATGATGCGATTGCGGCGCGTCAGCGTATTGATGCGCTCCAGCAGCACCTGGGACTTCTCGTCGCGAATGTTGCTGCCCGTCTCGGCAGGTGCCGTGGGCCGCGAGGTCAGCTTCACCTTACGGACGTCGCGCGACTTCTGCTGCGTGTTATCCTCGTCCAGCGAGTAGCCGACACTCTTCGTTGAGCGCACAAACGGCTTCGACTTGCCTGACGGCTGCTGCGACCGATCCGGTCCAGGTCTGTCGGTGAATTTGTCGGACTTGGGCGAGGACGGGGCAGAGGTGGTGGTCTCGATGCCTTCCTCCAACGGTGGAATGCTCACGGAGGTTTCGGAGCCTAGCGAGTTGCGTATAAACTTGCCAGATGCGCGAGCCAGGTCGGCCTTGTCTTCCTGTTCGGAGATTGGCGTGGATGCAGGGCTGTCGACGGACACCGCACTGCTCGTGGATACGGTCGGGCCGGCGGATTGGCGCAGCGGTAGCTCAACGTTGGCTGAAGCAGCGCTGCTTCGGCGACTTGTCGTCACACTGCTGCTACCACCACCAGTAGCAGCAGCAGCAGGCGCTGTACCTACGCTCGCACTCGTCGTGCTGGTCGTGGCGCTAGCACTGCCGGCAGATAGCTGTTCGTTGGGCAGCTCCTGCAGCGCCACCGGTATCTCCATGCACAGCGATCGGCTCTGGCCGCGGTGCATGGACCTGGTATGTGGAATGCAGATGTCGTCTTCGTCCCCGGTGTTGTGTTGAGAGGAAGTGCAGAACACCTCGCCTTTACTGCCACTGTCACTTCCATATATCTCTTCACACGAAGCTGGTGACGAGGCTGGACGATTGCGTTCCGACTTGGCTAGCGGTGACAAGCTGGGAGTGTCCTTGCCGGCCAGGGAGGTCAGCGACGTCTTCCCACTGATCCCCTTACTGGCAGTACCACGCGCAGGCATAATTGATGTAATGCGCGATGCACTCTCCGAGTTTGATCGCATGCGATGCCCCTCATTCTGCAGGGGCGGCGTGTGTACCTTCTGTGATCCATCTTGCTCGATGTCCACTTTCGTCGTACTATTGCGGCCGAGGAAAGAGGCTGCTTTCTGCAGCGATGGTAGAAAGAACACAATCGCACGCATGCACACCAGCACACACACACGCACACACACATACGCACATGCGTACACACACGCACGCACACAAACACACAAAGCTCAGCAGCATACAAATGCACAGATTACCACAAGCATGAAATATATGTCATGCCAGCTCCATGCATGGGGCAATCATTCCTGACAAGCATTCATCACAATGTGATGCCATGTCGTGGTGAAGCTGCTTTACTGCAGTCTATTTAGAAATGATCGAGCTGTGGGGATTGCTGAATCCGATTTGCTCTGGATTTGGACTCAAAAGTGTTATTGCTGATAATATATAATTTGGGTTTTGGACCTGCTACTCCACACATTGGGCCACATCCGACTTGGCTAAATTCTTTAAACTCGTATGAGATTTGAGGAAATTCTGTTTGAAATTCTCCATAGTGTCAACGGCTAGAATGAATCGAAAGCCATTCCCAGTGCTGTATACCGATGGCCTGTGCGTACAACTCAGAGCCATGACAAGACGGTTCTATTTGCCCTTCTCTACACGCGTACGTGTATAGCAGAGAGGTTCCTGGGCTGTCCAATAGAGCGCTCAATACCGAAAGGCAGAGCTAGTTCAAACTTCAAACAATAATAAGAGGATGAAAAACTTGTTTTCTGATGATCGATTAGTGTGCGAAACTCGGCACTGTTTTCTGATGATCGATTAGTGTGCGAAACTCGGAGTAAAAACACTGTTTTCTGATGATCGATTAGTGTGCGAAACTCGAAGTAAAAACACTGTTTCCATCCACTTATTATTGCGTGTACGTGTACACATAATGTGAAGAAGAGGTTGGTGCGACTTCGGCGATACTTGGGGAATTGTGTGTCGCTCTCTACGTGAGAGCTTGCACTGTTCCTACCGACTTGAATTCTCACGTGTACACATAGCTTCTTCTATTGCCAATGACAATTCAAAGCCCCTACGACCAATGTGGTTATGGGCGTTACATACACACATGTACATACACACACATGAGAGGGATCAAAAGCGTTTCTTCTGTAACTCTGAGTTTCACGGTTTTAACCGATCATCAGACAGCAACTTGACTACAATTTTCAGACGATAAGATTGATATAGGCTGCAAGCTTGGATCATAGCGCGAATGGATGATCCGGGCTGTATGTACATATGTGTATGACTACTGTCATGCTGTCAGTGCCAGTGTCAGTGTAGAGAGCGTGTACATGTACCTGCCATTTTGACCTGAAGTAGCCGCGACTGTCAGCCTCACTGCCCTCGGTGCTATCCAACCTCTCCAGTCTCTCCATGCTAGTCGTACGTCAGCCAATATAGAACGCAGTGCTAGGCGCGGTGTAGTGAACGTGAGCAACAACAACTACCACAACTACACCAGCAACCGGTAACAACAACTACACCAGTGACAACAGCAACTACACCAGTAGCCAATGACAACAACTCCACCAGTAACCACTGACAACAACAAGAACGAAAGTACCGCCGCTGGAGATCGCGAGTACAGGCAGAAGCAGTGACAGGAGCTACACCAGCTGAGTGCAGATTGCCCGATTGATACAGCTACGCGCACACACATACACACACACACACACACACACACACACACACACACACACACACACACACACACACAGGTGAACCAGCAGCAATCAGGAGAGGGAACTAGAAGAGAGATGACCACCACACACACACACACACACACACACACACACTAGAGTTCAGCACAGGACAGGAGGTAAGGAGAACAACTGCCACTACTACGGAGATGAGTGTGTGTGACCACTGGAAGTAGAGGAGACTACACCAACAACAGCCACATCAGTCACCAACAGCACTATGGAGATCAGTGAGGGCAAGTAGACTACACCAACAACAGCCACATCAGGGTTCCCTGTAAAAAGGCAAAGACGCCTGTTGGGAATTCCCTAGTAAAGAATAAAAAATATAAAAAAAATCAGTCACCAACAGCACTATGGAGATCAGTGGGTGCAAGTAGAGACTACACCAACAACAGCCACATCAGTCACCACCACCGAGTGGCCAGCACCACCACCGAGAGAACATCAAAGCAAACCACTCATACACCGGAGACCAGAGAAACAATGGCCACCACAGCAGCAATGACTGGCTTCACGTCCGCTCCACACCCAACGCAAAACCGACAGAACATAGAAACTGGCCGCAAGCAGCCACCCTCAGGATGAGCTCCACACACAAACACGGTGTATGGGTTATGACACTGTTCCCCTCACACACGCAAAAAAAACTACTAGTTGACCTGCTGATCGTCCTGCACTGTGCTAAATCCACACTGCAGACAAGCATGCCGATCTAAATCTACACTACAACGGAGCCTGTTGGCCTAACTCTACACTGCTGCCTGCAAGGAATCTTGCTGATCGAAATCTGCACAACAAAGAAGCCTGCGGGTCTAAATCTGCACTACAACAGAGCTTGCCGGTCTATATCCACACTGCAAAACTCTTTCCTATCTCGCACTGCTGCAACACTGCTACACATGAAGTAAACTGTAAACGCTGTCAAACAGACAGACTAGACACAGTGTTAGGTGAACAGCAAGCTATCCACATTGGCCCCCAGGCATTGCTGCACCCAACCTGGCATCACAGCACAGGAACAGAGGTACGAAGACTTCGCAAGTTTGCACACCATCACAGCACAGATGCAGGCCAAACTGTGAACAGATTCCAGTATCGTGCACGGGGAAATGTATTGAGCAGGCCGATGTACAACACAGTGCAAGCTGGGGCTGTTATTTTTCCACAGCAGCTGGCATTCATGACCACAGGAAGTGGTCAGGGAATATCATGGGGAACCACCTGCTGTAGTATCTGTTACAGTTATGTGGAGGATGCTAAGGAACTGGAGAATCATGGTGAATAAATGCGTTGAGTGACTGACACTGGCTTTGCTGGTGCAAGCAGTTCATTCGGCACGGACAGACACACACACACACACACACACACAGCCACCACACACACACACACACCCACACACACACACACACACACACACACACACACACACATACACACGCACACACACACACACATGCCCCCCCCCACACACACACACGTGCTGCTGCAGAAATCCATCATCGTTTAAGGCTGAGAAGACATACAGGAGCTTGCACAGATTCGACCTTGCACTCTTCTCCACCTTCACAAGTTTACATCACGGAACATGGAGTTCATTATGGCCAGGACAAACTTGACACAGTGCAAAACAAACAGCAAGCTATCAACACCACCTGAGGCACTTCATAGAGGACATGCTTATAGCAGTCAACATTGCGACATGAATCATAGCAGAAGTGAGAATGGAGGAAGAGGTGTTGGTTATCATACCCGGTGGCATTCTGGTGACAAGTTTCACCGTTTTGCAACGCATCAAACAACACCAATCAGACGTCATTCGGAAATAGCGCAAAAGATCCAGCGCGGGGACAGCGTGACTTCGCCACCCCTCTCTAGTCACTCCAGTGATATCATAAGTGCTTTCCCACGTCACACTCTTAGACTATTGCTCATCCAACCTGACTGCTCTCTAACAATGATGAATGTCCATGCACAATGCAGCACTTCCATAGAATGTTGAGTGAAGAGAAGCAAATGCTCATGGCTGAAGAGAGTTCCCTATTCCTGTAAGTATGTAGTGAAAGGAGGCTCTATCGCAGTATGGACTGCGTGTCAACATCCTACTAGTGGAAGGAGGCTTTATCACAGTATGTCCTCTTTGTCAACGTTCTTAGTTTAGTGTGTCATCCAATAACCCTGTGTTACTCAGCAAGCCGCAGGGAGTTAAGCAGAAGCTATGGTTGTGCATGATCTGTTCAATGCACCGACCAGTAAGTCAGACAAGCAGCGTGTTATTGTTTGCAACAAGGTCGGCTTCACTGGTGCAGTCTCCCAAGATTATTTGGGCTCCGGGGGCAGGTGTAGCGTGCCTGCGGACAGAAGCCAAGCTTCCAGTCAGCTGAGCCCTGTTTAATGAGGGAGATTTGTATAGTGTGTGTGTGTGTGTGTGTGTGTGTGTGTTTGTGCATGTGTGTGTGTCCATGTATGCACATGCCTGGCACGAGACGCGCACGTGCATCTGCATGCGCGTTATCAACGCTAAACCAACTAACCTTGTTGAATGATTTGCGCATATTACTGGGTTTGAGACGCGGGGCTGCATCGGGCTTTTGTTCATCAGACGCGCCACGTTTGCTGGCAAAGTAGTTTGCTAATGATAGTCGGCGCGCATCGGAACTGTCCTTGACTATCAGCTGCCGCTCATCGCCGGTGGACTTGTTGGGTCTCACTCCGCCTATGGACGGGGAATGTGCCGTGGCCACCGAGTGTGGCTGGCTGCTTGCCCGAGTGGCGCTACCGCCACTGCCGCCAACACTGGCCGTGTTTGAGTTGGCCAAGCGCCGGCTGCGCCGCTGGCTCATTCGGTTGAAGACAGCGTTCTGCTGCTTGATGTCGCCCATGCCAGAGAATGTCTGGCGGCGTTTGCAGTCAAGGTCGGTCAGAGTGAGCTCTTCGATACCCAGAGAGGCCATGCTCGACTGCAGATGATGTAAGTACCCAGAGGAAACACTATGATCCATAAACGTCGTCACTGGCACAACTTTCATCGCATCGCACAACCTTTCCAAGCAGTCCAAACGCAGTCGTTCCTTGTAGTACTGTTCCCTGGCTTGATCCAGCTTCTCAATGGCTGTAATAATCGAGTCATTGATTTTCTCTTTTGCCGGCCACTCGGGGCACTTTTGACCTATGAAAACTGTCGACCATCGTTTCGACAGGTCTTCTTTGGCTTGTCCAAATTCGTCCAGCACTTTCACTTCCGGCGTGACGGGACTCTCCGACCTCGATGGGCTGGCATCTCGCTCTTTTTCCATACTTGGTCGAGGTATCCCCGTCAAACCATCAGGTAAAATACCCAGACGGACGACACTCGCTCATAAACTGATACTACACTGGTCTTGGAGCAATGCAACACACACGTACAGGTTGCACTACTACAGGAAGAAAGACAGGAGTAGATTACGCCCGGGAATAGAGGCAGATGGGAAATAGTCCGAGCTACCAGTTCAGAGTCACTCGGACATTCAGCGGAAGCGCTCGCGCTGAGAAGAAGCAGGCCTTTTTCGCATACAGGAAAGTCTCAGTTTATTCCTTCTTGAGCAGCAGGGCCGAGAGGCCGATGAAGCTTCGTGTGTAGGGATTTGGAAAAATCCTCCTACTAAAACCGGCCTTCTGCGGAACTTCATGCGTACGCCATGGTCAGGACGAGCGTTTAGGGCAGAATCATCGAAACGTTCCCGGCAGACAACCACGAACCTTCAAACATGGCCATCAAACTCGTATTTTTGCAGAAATTGTTAAGCTAAAATCTGAACTTTTCAATGAAAAAGACAAGAGTTTGACGAATGCCGGCGGTCAACCAGAGCCTTACCTGTTTTGCGTTGCTCTGCCATCTTCGTAGGGGATTCTTGATCTTATCGTCCTGACCCGGAACCTCCAGTGACATTCTCCAAAGGAAGCCAAAACTGCAATCGACAATGAGGACCGACGTCTGTTGCTTTTTTCCTAGAACGAGAAGATAATTGAAGTGTTTGTTTTTGCAACAAAAAGTACTTATGATTTAGGTAATGCAATGGCTGGTTCAAGTGGTTGTAGAGGCATGAAACAGGGACATGTATGGCTGCCTGCTCATGCTGCGTTCAAATGTTCCCCTGCGGATCGCGAAGTGCTGTCCTTTTGCGGATGCAGTCTAAAGTACAACCAGCAACAAGGATCCGGGAGTCGTTTCTGGCCTACTTGCTGAGCGTGGTCGCCTGCAAATGAGTGCGGAAATGGAAACCATGTGGACAGCTCAACGGGCACGAGTGAAGTCTACGGCCAGCGCACTAGTAGTATACTGAGTACAACGCCAATACAAGGTGCGACTGTAAGTAGTTGGCATTGCAATTGTAGTGTGGTATTTCGCTGTTACTTCAAGGCAACAACTGCCTTTACCTCTCATAATATTACATGCACCAGAAGTAGTTACAAAGGTTAGTTCTACACGTAGTCACAAATACTCAGGTCTGATAGCGCTTTTCGCACCATAGTTGCTAAGTAATAATTAGTTACTTTTCAACAGCACTTCTTTTTTTTTATTTCGGCCAGTCGGCTACTAGATATACTATCATTTCGTCTTGGGGGTTAGACAAGGGGAAGTAGCCATGTCAGTAGGGGCATGAGCCCGCCTTTCGGCACCGGGAGTTGCAGCTCTCTCGACTCTACTATACTGAGTGAAGAGAACCCATGCATGGATCTGGTGAGCTGCGTCGTGGGGATTTTGCAGTCAGACGTGCGACTGCGGGGCTCGAAGCCGCGACCTCTCGGGTCGCAGGCAAGTGCAGTACCCAATGTGCTTGGTTCCTGTGTAATGAAGCGCAGCAACTACTTCGAAGTATCAGTATTACCAAGAATACATAACCAGTAAAGTAATACTTGGCAAAGGAAAAAAAAAAGACTCGGCTGGGCATTGAAGGGCACCAGATGTGCACAAGGTCTTCCACATGCCGGTTCACATTTCTCAAGAGGGTGCAGCGGTCTGCTGGATGCTTTCACACCCCACCCAAACTCACCCAAGTGTGGAAGTACATGCGAATCTCCATATTTGGCCAGATACTTGTACAAATGTCAGCTCGGGGTGCCAAGTCCACGAACCCATTGCATCATGGAGTCCAACTGGTGGACATGTGACCGGTGAAGCATGACTCAGCCTTGGGGACATTGTGATAATATAAGTCAACCCACAGGTCGCACTACATGCAGTGTATAATCAGATTAGACTTGAGTGCGCATACCATATTTTCGGCAATAGGGTGGTTTCGCTCTACGGAACTACGTAAGAAACTAACGTAGGAACTGCAAGTAATTTTCATAATTATGTAAAAAATAAGCGCTGTTGGGTTTCACTCTACGGTAGGCCTTGGCGGATAATGCCGGCAGAAAAAATGGCAGAATTCGGTACTTTTTCTGGTAAGCTTCATGCATGTTTGGTATGTGGATAAAGAAATGGAGCAGAATTCGAGGAATTGCCCGCCATAAGGTTTGTATGGTTCTGCCAATTTCGGTGCAAAAAAAGCAGAATCTGCCACCTTTTCGAGCATTATCCGCCAAGGCCTACTCTACGGGATTTCTCCACGACTGCTAAGCATGCCTTGTTGCTTTGGAGACGCGCTGGCTGCATGCGCCCACCGCATGCACCACAGACTGGAACCGCGTTTTCCATTTTTGTTTTCCATTTTTGTTTTCCACGTGGTGTGTACCTGTACCTACAGTCCCGCTGGCTTTTGAAAGTCCGATTTGGGCCGGATTGGGGATCAAAAACCCACTTTAAAAAATTGATTTCAAAAATCTGGGTTTGGGATCTGCTTCTCCACACATTTTGCCATGGCATACCTGTCCTAATTTTGTGAACCTGGCTGAATTTCCCTGTTCTTGGA